GGAGAAAGGGAAACCAAGAGTAGAAATGGCACCATCTTCGCTTTGGCGTTCACCTCCTTTATCCCCCTAAAGTAATTCCATTTTTAATTGCATAAAGAGAAAAGAACAAAAAACCCTTATTTTCTTTAGGTTTAATTTGAAGTTTTCGTATTGTTTTCAGGTGGTGCATTTGAATAAGAGAAAATGGATTGAAGAAACAACATACCCACATTTCACAATGATTGGTCAAAGCTTGGGATCAGTTTATTTTATATTGGGAAGCCTTAACCAAGTTTACACCTTTGTACTATTTTGATACGAGTGGATACGCTTTTACTTACCCAATTGCACGTTTATTTGGGTGCAAAGTTATCTGTTATACTCATTATACTACTGTCAGTCTAGACATGATTTCCCGAGTTCGTCAACGAAGCTCTATCTACAATAATGATGCCTTAATCGCTAGAAGGTTTGCTTTCGCTTGATCATCTTCCCAGTATTATTTAGTGATACGAATTTGTATGCTTTAGATAGCTAGATTGAATTGTTTGGTTGCATTGCTAGTTTAATCATATTCTCTTCTTTCATATTAGTTTTCTTTTTGTTTTGAGTATGATTTGCATATCGAAAAGCTTTTAACATTTTGCACGAATTTGGTGCATTAATCTGTATTTGTTAAGAATACATTCTTAAACTACTACTTACCTGCCATATTTGAATTGATTGTCTACAACTATATAGGGTTTTCTTCTAGTGATTGTTCCTGTTCAATAACTTTTAACGTTTTATTATACCACTGCTTGATTTATTTTCATGGTTGACAACTAAAACTATCATTATTTTTATACTTTGGTGGAAACTTGATGTGCATAAATCATGATAACGTAGTTCATTAATAGAGCAGCCTAATTGCTTGCTTGGGTCTTAGAGTTATATCTGGCTTCTGATCTTGTCATCTGGATCCTGATAGTATCCTTCCTTGGCAGCACATGGTTATTCCGGTGCAAAATTAACTATTATACAGTTTTTAGCAGGATGTATGGAATGGTGGGCTCTTGTGCACATCTTGTAATGGTTAACTCTTCATGGACTCAATCTCACATCGAGAAGCTTTGGGAAATTCCTAAGCGTATTAAGCGGGTTTATCCACCTTGTGATACTTCAGGACTTCAGGTTCTGTTTCTCATCATTCATCACAATCCTGACTTCATTTTGTAAGTTTCTATCTTTTTTGTGCCTTTTATCTGTGGTCTCATATCAATTTACATCTGAAACAGGCACTACCTTTAGAAAGACCGGTGGAAACTCCAAAAATTATCTGTTGCACAATATTGTCCAGAGAAGGTGCACATACTTAAAATATCTTCAAACTAAATGTCCAACAACTATGTTGTCTCAGTTTTGGACCTTGATTAGGTCTAGCAACTCTTTACAGTTCAATTCTTTTGACACAGGCACATGGTCTTCAACTCGAGGCCTTCTCTGTCGCCATAAAAAAAATAGATGCCGACTTTCCAAGACCTAAGCTGCAGTTTGTTGGTAGTTGCCGGAATCAATCAGATGAGGGAAGACTTCAGAATCTGAAAGACAGAGCAGTGCAATTGAACATTCAGGACAATGTGGAATTCCATAAAAATGTGATGTATTGGTAGGAGGAACTGCCAATTTAGCTACATCGACAATTACATAAAGTTTGGTTGGTTTTCCCTCTAAATGAAAATCATCCAAAAATTTATAATCAGCAGAGAACCGACCATCTCCATTTGCATAATTGCTATGTTTCTGATTGCTCGTGCATTGTGATGTTAGGATATCCTAGGAGCTTATATGCATTTGAACCCTTAGCTTCATTGATTTCATACCCTATGCAGGGGCTTGGTAAGACTTTTGGGGGGTGCTGTTGCCGGAATCCACTCGATGATAGACGAGCATTTTGTCATTAGTGATGTAGAGTACATGGCTGCAGGAGCCATACCAATTGGTGGCGCTCATGGAAACTGATTTTTTTCTTATTTTCCTATTGTAAGTACTTTTCTGTTTATAAATTGTTTTTATATTCTAATTTTGCTCGCTCCCCTTTTCAGCTCATAATTCTGCTGGCCCCAGAGTGGACATTGTTTTAGATGAAGATGGACAACAAACAGGATTTCTTGCTGAAAATATAGAAGAGTATGCAGATGCAATCTTGAAAATCGTAAAGATGCCCGAGCCTGAAAGACTAAAGATAACTACAGCAGCAAGGCCAAGAGCTAGTAGATTTTCCGAGCAGAGATTTTACGATGATCTAAAAGCCGCAATCTGACCAGTTATATGTCATTCTTCCTAGTGATATAGGATTGCATTAGACTCACACTGACGTAGAAAACAGTTGTTATTGGGTTTCTTGATCGTTCTATTACTGCTCTATTTTATTTCATTTCAAGATGATCATGTTTCTTTAACATTAACATTAATTTGTGTTCCATTTGCATAATTTTGGAATTGAAAGAACCTAAAAAATCTATTTTATTCTATTTCATTTCAAGATGATCATATGTCATTCTATTACTGCTTCTATTAATCATAATTGGATTGATCTTATTTTTAAGAGGATCAATTTGTATAATTTTGGAATTGAAAGAACCTAAAATATATATTTTACCATTAACATTTGTATCCTTTTCATTAAAAAAATATTATTTTTTCAATTTCAAATGATACACAATATTTTTTGAATCAGTTTAAAGCTTCTACTCAATTTTAAATAATTAAAATTAGTTTAAAGTTGCACATTAATTTTTGAATCAGTTTAAAGTGTCTACTTAATTTTAAGTAATTATCACAAGTTTAAATATATAAATTAAATAATAGGTGGCATAGGGGCATGCCTTGTGTATTCTTATTTTATTTTATTCCATTTGTGTTATTCAAGCAAAAGTTCTCATCGTACAGTTCATGCAAAAACCGTGAAGGTATTGCTTCTGGTTTCCTCGCCTTGTGAGTCAACACTTAAATAATCTTCAAATTTTAAAGACAACCAAAAAGAGAACAAAGCTTTGTCTTGTTTACTTCTGCTCTAAAATCAAGCTTCTCCGACCAATAATTGAACACCATGAAGAAAACTGAAGATCAGCTTTGTGGAGAAAGCACCCAACAGTTTGACATTGAAGTACTTTTACAAGACGCCGATGCTTTCGAAAATGTCTTCTTTCCCTCAACCCACATGGACTACAGTCTCACGAACCTCAACGAAATCATCGATTTTGACGAACTGCAATCGATCCTAGACGAGGAAAAAGACCAAGGAATGCATTCGGTCATCGGAAAAGAAGGTTGCGGTTCTAGCGGCAGCCATGACTGTACCACCGTAGTGGCTGCCGCTCATGGTGAACCAATGCACGTTAAACGTAAACCAAAAAACGAACAACAAGCGATCAAGAAGTGGAAAACGAGAAAGAGGATTCAGAAGGGTACTCCGGAAGCTTATGAAAAGAAGGAATTACATAAAATCAAAAACAGAGAGGCAGCTGCTCGTGCATTTGCACAAAAGAAGGTAACTTTGAGGCCACCAGCTTCTCATTAGTTGCATTAATCCCACTGATAAAAGCTTAATGAGATTATTGTTTGCATAACCCCCGGTTTAAAATCTAATTTTTTTTCCACATTAGGCTTACGTGGAGTGGCTAGAATTAGAGGTGCAGAAATACCGCAAGAAGAACACAGATTTGAAAAGGCTGCTTCTGGTAATTAATTGGAAATATAACAATACATATGATATTATAATTCCTATAATAAGGAATATACTTATATATTTTCTGTTGTTTATAACTTAGTTCGCCGAAAGTAGCACAGGCTTAGACATGCCTCCAAAACAACTAAGAAGGATAAGCTCTGGACTGCTGTAGATGTCAGGCAAAGCCAACCGTCAGCAAATGAAACCTTCGAACAAGAAAGTAAATTGTAAAAAGATTAATTACTCTATATGGAACTGTGCGCGTATATATATATATATATATATTCTCAAATTCTCATTCTCTCTAACTTAACAATATATGAACTAATTAAAGAATGAAGCTTTCTTCCAAATTATCTGCCATAACAGGGTATTATAAAAATGGCTTTGGATGTTCTGTTTCCCGACATGTCCATAATACCCTGTATCCTCCATCAATACCCAATATTTTGCTCCTTTATTTGTATTTAAACTTATGATTTCAATGATTAAAGTAATCTTGTTATCCATAAAATATTTAAAGTGATTGACAAATAATTAGGAGTCATTACAACAATAGTACAGCTACAACTTAAGTTACGGTTAAATTTTTTAACTCCACTCAAACGAAAAAAGAAAAAAAAAGCGTAACCTCCGGTTTCAGTGCTCAATATTTCTCTAACTGCTGCCCGTTACATCTGCTCTTCCCCCCGTACCTCCCATATAAAAAATAGGGTAAATTATACATTTAGTACTTAAACTATTAGTTTTATCTTTTTGAATACCTAAACTTTCAATTTTTTCAAAATCATACCTACGTTTAGTTTTTGTTTCATTTTAATATTCAACCGTTAAAATGTTAATGCGATTAGTATCTAAACTATCAGTTTAGGTCATTTTTAGTACTTAAACTTTCAATTTTTTTCAAAACATCATGTTAAATTTTGAATAGGGAAACTAAAATGAAACAAAAAATAACTTTAGATATGGTTTTAAAAAAATTAAAAATTTAGGTACTAAAACAGACCAAAATCAATAGTCTAGGTACTAAATGCATAACATATCCTAGAAAATATTGAACAAAACAAATAAAAATATACATTTATTTTTATGAAAAGAAATGTAACTTCCACCATGGTTCAATGCTGATTTATTTGATTTTATTTATTTTGAAAAAAGAGGCAGTTATAACAACCTTTCCACTTCTATACCAACTCTACCCTACTCAAGTAACAAACTGAACTGAATCAATTAAAAAATGTTTTTAAAAAATGTTTTCATTTATTTAAGTAATAAGAGAGAAGCAGAAACAAACGCAGCAGAGCGACTCTACGACTCACACCACCACTCTTTCAATTTCCATTTTAACTTCAAAATCAATTTGATTTTGGTTTTGAGTTTTTGAATTCGTTTCTTTTCCATTGGTGTCTAGAGATGATCGATGGTGGTGGTCGAGTGAGGAATACATGGAGCCCCAAAGAAGACGCTAACCTTATCAAGCTAGTGGAACAGCATGGCCCAAAGAACTGGTCCATTATAAGCGCCGGAATCCCTGGAAGATCAAGCAAGTCTTGCCGCCTACGGTGGCACAACCAAGTCAGCCCTGCCGTGCAGCACCATCCCTTTCAGCCTGCTGAGGATGCTGTTATCATCAAAGCACACGCTATTCATGGGAATAAATGGGCCACCATCGCTAGGCTATTGCCCGGACGTACTGATAATGCTATAAAAAATCGTTGGAACTCTGCCTTATGCCGGAGACGAGAAACAGAGAGGTCATCGGGATCGTCCAAGTCAAAACCGAGCCGGGATGCGTCCCAGTCAAATTCAGGGAACAAGAAGCAGTGCTTGGAAAGGGTTTCGCTTGAGCATGAGAGTGCAGGACTGGTGGTGCCCAATATGCAGTTGACGCTGTCTCCACCGAGTGACGGCTTCGCATCGGAACACATGGAGGAAAAAGGGGAGGATAAGGAGAAAGAAACAGCAATAATACCGGTGGTTAAGAGAGAGGACTGGTACGTAGGTGCTGAGAAAAGAATGGTGGAGATGGACGAGAGTTGCATGTTGACAATCATGCGACGATTGATCAAAGAGGAGGTTAAGAGTTACATTGAATCATTAATAGCTGATGCAAACACTTAACCATAATAGTTTTCCCTTCTCATTTGAGTTTTCATTTTTCTTAAAGCACTGGGGTAGCTCTAGAAAAAAATGGAGAAAATTGGCGTCGAAAAGTAGAAAAATATAAATTTTGAATGTAATTTATAAGAGAAAAAAATATTGAAAACCCAGAAAAAGAGCTTTACTGTATCAATCTGTCTTTGGGCAAACATAAATATATGCACTTGATTGATTCTCACAGGTGTTTGTTTTTTTACCTTTTCCAAAATCCATTACGTACCCATAACCATATGATAAAATATTCGGCAGATTAGCTAAAGTAGTTGGGAAAACACCAATCAGAGAGATAAAGATGAAAGGGTTAAGTATTTAGCTAAAAAGTCGATAACATTGCCGAAGTGATGAAGAAGCCAAGGTTCGGCACAAAATGCAGAACAAAACCATGAAAATATTACAATGAACTTAAATCCTTTAACAAAACAAAGTACCCATCAAACAAGTATGTCATCTGAAGACAAAGAGAGATCTGATCGCTAAGTCTAAAGAAAATTAGTCTACTTAGATCTTTGTCTCATCTTTCTTCTCTTCCTCTTCAAACGCCTCATGCGCTTCTTCTTCCACTGAAATTACCAAAAATAATAAACAAAAGAAAGATAGAGAAAAACCCATCAGACGTCTCAATAAAAAATCAACAAAATTATCAGAAACATGTGGAGCTTTCTTACCTTAGCTCTCATGGTGAAAAAAATTCAATTTTCGTCCGGTTTCGCAGTCCCAGAGATTAGTGTCTTCTAGAGGGTACGCGGCGATAATGAGAAGATGAGCACCATCTTGTAAAGACTGTATATATCAAAATCGTAAAAACCCTAGATGCCTCCATAGTGAAGAAATTGGGCTTTGAGATTATATTGGGTGAAGGGATTCTACCCAAATTTCAGCCCAAAATCAAGACCTTATTTTATGTAAGACCAAGTCAGACTATATCAGATTTATACTATAAAAATGTGGATCAAATTAAAATCGGATGGAAGGTATATATTTTTCGGATCGAGTCGATTTCAAGTGGAGGCTATATATATTTTGGGTCAGACCTGGTTGACCAAAAACCCGGCCCAACTCAATCCGTTGTCTTCCCAACTTTGAACTTGGCATCAAATTAAATTTAATAAAAAATTTATTATAATATTTTTAATTATAGAAAATTTGAATATCAAATTGTATTCGTAAAAATTTAACCTGTTAAAAATAAAGGTGATTTGATAAGATTTATTCCCAAACAAATTTATATTTTGTCAACAAAACACTATAATATTATATTTTCATTAAATAAAATAATATAATATTTTAAATGATGTATAAAAAAATTTCAAATATAATTTCACATTCGACATTACAATACATTTGAATGATTAGCAAAGGTAGAGAGGACAGGGACACGGCCCACAGGGTGACAGTGGGAATGGTTATCATATGAGTTTTGAGGAAATGAGTAAGAATTAAGCCAAAGGCTTGTTAACACCACCACCATGTTTTATGGGCGGCACAGTTAGCCGAACTGAAGCCGCCACTCTGTCCTACATTGTCATCACCTTTTCACAAAAACCCTTTTGATTCCTGATATTATTCAAACTTTATCTAAGGAGATAGATAATAGGTTTAAACACTATCAAGCTACCAATCAACGAGAGAAATCTCTTATACATATGGAATTTGGCTAAAATCATACACGTGATTCCTGATTCAATTCGTATGAAAGATTCTGGCTAAAACTGTCAATGCATTCTTCGCAATCAGCCGAGAGTCCATCGAAAGGCTTTGTGATAACACGATCATCATCGGTGCTTCCCATAGCGGAGGTGTACCAAGCCAAGCATGCTCGAGCAAGGGCCAAATCATGTTGAAGCTGGATCATCTTCCTTTGCAACACAGCTATGGCACCAATGCAACCATAGACCGGGTCCCCAAGCCTTACTTCGGCCACATACGCTAGGGAATTCACTGTGTCTTCCTGCTGCTCTTCGGGCACTTCGATCAGGATCTTGCTCACGTTGCTAGCACCGAAAACTTTGTGCACTTTGGCGAATTTCTTCGGCTCATCTGATCGGAAATAGGGTGCGAAAATACAGTTGGGAATGCACCTCCTTTTCAAGAGCTTGCAGGCGGCACAGGAAGAAGCGGAACGTGGCTCATTGCTTCATATATTACTCTGCCCAACTCTTTGTTTTTTCAAGGCTTTAACTTCAGCTCGAGAAATTTCCATTTCTACAGAGAAAATAAATGGTTTACCTCTAGGTTAGTTAAGAACGAAATAGTCTTGGGTCCATTTTCACAAAGAAAATTTCCATCAATCTTAATGAAATAACAATCGAGGATTTTAAAAAGGACAAGAGACAGTATTTGTTTTGTATGTAGGTATGATGGAAGTGGGGGCACCATTATAAATATTTATGGGCGTTGTTTGGTTGAGAAATTATGGTTCATAAGGTAAATGGATAAGACTTTCATTTCAATGAAAGAAACAAGCTTTTACAATAGAAGTTTGGAGTCCCTCCATGAGAAATTTGGAATAATTTTTATCTTATATCTATTTTATAAGGGTAAACTACCCGAATAGTCATTAATGTTTGAGTAAATTTATGTTTTTCCCACTAAAATTTCAAAAGTAACAAATTGGATACTAATATTATCGATTTATAACAAATCGGTCACTGGTTGTTAAGAGATGTTGCAACAGTAATGGAAAAGTGAAGTGGCATGTTAAACTGGTGACCTAACACCATTTTTTTTCATACATTTTACTTCAAGCTTTTGACTGGCCTTTAAGAAGAAAAAAATGAAGAAAAAAGTTAAATAAAAGAGGGAAGAAGAGAAACTTTTTATACTTTTCTTTTGTTATTTACAAGTGTAGGATTTGAGAGCTTAAGGAAATAGAAAGAGTAGTTTCTTGGACATTGTTGCATCCTGGTGTTTTTTGGGTTTGGATCGTTGTATGAATTTATAAAACCCATGAACTTAACAATGATATTAGCAATTAAAGAATGAAAGTTGGAAATTGCAGATAGGGCTCATTCCAAACCACCATGATTTTTCTTTGGCTGAAACCTTTAAAAATGATGTATGACTTATCATATGAGATTTTCACCTTCTCTCTGTCGGTACCAAGATTAACACTAATGCAATACTAAAATTTATTGTTTGATGGAACGGAGTTTATAGCCTATTAAATAGTGGCAAAATCTCCACGGTCAGATTGATCAACCTTCATCGTTTTACATTTTGCTGATATTTGTTAAACTAAACAAAAAAGTAATGAGTAGAGTGTAAAAGCAATTGACCAGTGTCATCTTCAAGCTTTAGTTGTTGTAAAAAATTAAATTAAAGATCAAGAGAAGATTAATGGTATATATAAAATATAAAACATCAATAAAATGATACTAATGTTCATCATCATCAGCACCGCAACAAGAACATCATCAGTTCCAACACCATAACTTGAAAGAAGATGAACAAACTGGCAACAGCGGTGCAATCGTATGCAAAGAGCTATGATGGTGAAGGTGAGATGGGTAGAAGGCCAAGAGACAGGCATACTGGATCTAAGGACAAGCCTAAGCCATCCATTAATATCACTCGAGACAGCACTCTACACACCCATGTGATGGAGATCGACGACAGATGCAATGTCATAGATAGCGCCACCATGTCCGCCAGACAGCGCTGAAGAGGGGTTTGTAACATGAATGTGATTATGACTAATGTTACACTTCAGCAACCTGCCTTGACTGGTGCAGTTGTGACTTGCGTGCTTACGTGGGCGTTTCAAGATATTATAGTTGTCAGGTTCGTTTTTGCCTCCATCGGCATCGCCTTCGGTGACAGGTCTAACCATATACTTAGCCGACGAACAAGGCCAATTCGTAGGTGGAAGTGTTGTTGGGACACAAACTGGTTCAGGTCCTGTTGTGATTATGAAATATAACAACTTATTTTAGTAACGCTGCTTATGAGTGGCTTTCATTAGAAGAAGAAGAAGAAGAACTACCGTAACTCCCGATGCAAGGCAGTGCGATTGAATCCTCATCGGATGTAGTCCGTGGATAAAAACAGCAACAACAAGTGTCACCGGAATGAAATGCGTCATTTTTTCATGGACTCCAACAAAATCTTCTCAATTCTATTCAGTTACCAAATGGAACATGAATTTTCTCAGAAATTTCTACAAAAAAAGATGAACAAAAATAGGGTAAACTAGATTAAGGGGTTGGGTTTTTTTTTAAATTTAAAGAGTTGACTCATCAATAAAATTTGGAATGTGGCTAAGTAAGCACTTAACGAGCCACATAATTTTTCCGTCAACCATGTTAATGGTTGTTATGTTATGTTTTTAAATTTCAATAGGGAAAACGAAAATTTACTTAAACATTAGTGATTGTTCATATAGTTTATCCATTTGTAATTCATATTCAAAATTTATAATTATCAATTTTAACCTCATCTTTTAAATTTAAATAATAAAAATACATAAATTTATTAAATTTATATCAATTAAATTACTATTAATTTGTTAAAAATCTATTTAATAGAAGCCTATAAAATTATTCGAATATAAAAATTCCATGGTGATACTTGAAAGTAATTTGTGGAACATTATATATCAAAACTGAGAGGGAAAACACTGAGATTGATGGTCTATTTAGTAATGCTTATTAATGCATGGACTCCACTCAATTGTTTAATTATATTATATTTTAATAATTTAATACTAATATCCTTAAAAAAAGGAATTTATTACTTGATACTTTATTTTCATTACTTAAAACTAAATAAAATTCATTGTTTATATATTAAAATATTGATAGCGAGTTATTATAAAATATATTTTTATCATAGTTTAAGTTGATATATTTTATATATCATAGTATTAATGAGCATAAATATAATTTAAATTTTATATTTTAAATTTACAACATAATACTTATAATATATATTTTATCTTTTCAAATTCACTTTTTAAAACTAATATCAAATAGTTAAATTTTAAATTGTATTTTTAAAAATTCTTTTAAAACTCACTTCTAAAAAATAATATCAAACTTATCGCGAACGATGTAAGTTTTTCTTTTCCCAGCAAAAATGTTTTTCTCCCCTGATTCGGGCATTTTATTTCCATTTTTTCACAATTAATTTATTTCACAATACTCAACCTTAATTATTCAATGTTATTCACAAAACACTTCCTTCAAATTAAGTTTAATGGCTAATGACAATTAGAAGTAATTAAATATATATAATAATTTGTTTAACTTTAAAACTAGGAGATAAATTAATGTGTTTAAATTGCTTTTGAAAAAAATATCAGTTGAAATCACTTGACAAAATTTGTGTGGTGGGAAACCCAAATTTGCCCGTCGTGTCGTTTGCTCCAAAGTCGAAACCCACTTTTAACACAAAAAAACAACATTATATTGGTTCCGTCCGATGGTTGTCGAACGGACGGTGATTGAATTACTCTTGTGTTTCCACAGAGAATAAAGGGGAAATGGGCCGGCGCAATTAAATTAGATACTATGGAAGTTCGCTTTTTTATTCAATATCACCAAATAAAATATTATTTGTCATTTTAGCACCCATATACGATAATTCTCGAATTAACACCTTTTTTTTTGAGAAAATCGCCTCAGTGACCAAAAAAAAGTTATAATATACGATTTTAACCAACTTTTTTTGGATTTGCCAAAATGACCAACAAATTCGCAACGCGAAATAAAAATCGCAACGCGATCCCCAGAATCGCAAATTAGTTTCCAAAATCGCAACGCGATTCTTGAAAAT